GCTCCATTCTCTGCCCCCACGAGTGTCTGGGCTGTGCCGCCCCGTCCTCTCCCCCTCCCTGCTCACCCTGCACGTGGTTGGGTGTCTCCGGGGCTAATTAAAAAGGCACATTTGCATATTCCAGACTGCGCGTTAATGACATGCTTCGAGGCTCTTGCGTGTCTGGCTGCTCGGTTGGGATGAGCATCCCAAAAGAACGCGCGGTCTCGCCACGGCTCTGGAAAGCAGGAGCCGCTCTCCAGGGGAAAAGGAGGGATTTGCGGATATTTGGAGGTGGATAAAGGCAGAGATGCCCCAGCCCAGCAGACAGAGGCACAGACAGATCCAAATCTGTCCCAGGGAGAATCGCTTACACGCTGTCTGGGCGCGCCGGCCCCGATAACGAGATGCAAAGCACCGTCCCGGCACTTTCCATTCAGGGATAAACGCTGGCCCTGAAAGGACATTGAACCCGGGGGCTCGTGAGAGGAAGCATCTGATCCCGAATTTGGCTCGTGCTGTGAAACAATCGGGCCACATTCCGGCCCGGCACCCAGACGGGTGCCAAGGGAGGGACAAACTGGGGACAAACAAAAGTGCGGGATCCGCCGCCAGATGGGATGGGCACCCAACGCCCCACATGAGCCAGCGATGAACAAAACCCCTCCCCTGAGGCCATCGGACTGGCCATGGGAGCGCTCACCGCACGGGCCAGAGGCTTGGAAAAGCAACTCCCGGGATTTGGGGATGGATGGAGGGCTCAGACAGCACCAGAGATTAAAGTGCCAGAGGGCAGGAAGAGATGGGATATTGGGAAGGAATTGCTGGCTGGGAGGGTGGGCAGGCCCTGGCACAGGTTGGGCAGAGAAGCTGTGGCTGCCCCTGCATCCCTGGAAGTGTCCAAGGTCAGGTTGGAGCACCCTGGGCTGGTGGAAGGTGTCCCTGCCCAGGGCAGGGGGTGGCACTGGATGATTCTTAATGTCCCTTCCAACCCAAAGCACTCCATGATTCCATAACTCTTTGTAGAGTTCCCTACTGGAAACAGGGACTCAAGAGCTGTGGCTCAAGGAGCTGCAGCATTCCCACAGAAAAAAGCCAGGGCCATGCACGGAAATATTGGATGTTCTGGCTGCTCCAGAAGGAGCTCCCCATCCTGTTGGCACAGCCCTGCCCTGGCTGAGGCCAGTTTTTGGAAGGAGACAACAAGACCCCAGGGCAAGATCCACGAACCAGGTGTTTTGCCATTGGAATTGTCCCTCTGCATCCAGGGGGCTGCTGGGATGCAGGCACCGGGTGGGAGCTGCCCATGGAAGTGGGGGAAATGTGGGATTCATCCCCCTCCTGTGGCAGCTGGTGTGAGGAAGAGGAGTCCCACCGTGCAACAAGAAAACAAAGCACTATTAGAAGAAGAAATGCATTCCAGTTAAAATAAACGTCTTCCAGCCGTGCTGCAACGGCCACGCTTGGAAAAGCGTCGGAGACATTTTTATGAGGGAGCTCGAGCTGAGCAACAAAGGCCAAATAACGAACAATAATGAATCAAAGCCTTTAAGCAGCCAGGGGATGTTCCATGTAAGTGGCATCAGGCCGTGTGCGCAGTGAAATTAGGTATTAAGAACACCCCAGTGTTTCCAAACTCGTCTCAGGCAGCGTCGTTTTCCAGGCAGGAATGTCATGAGGGATACAAAGCGTGTCCAGCTGCTGAGCAGGGCTGTAAAAACACACAACTTTAACACTTTACAGAGTGGCTTCCTCACCCAGGCCTGCCTGTCTCGAGCCTCACCTAGAGTTCCAAGAGTTCCAGCACATCCCAAGAGCTCCTCACTCACAGTTTGGAATGTTTTACATGGAATTGCTTCCAGCGTTTCTCTGTTTCAGCAGCCTCTCTCTCGGCGTGACTCCCACACGGAGCGCTGAGGAGAGAGAGACCAGAAAGAGGAAACAAATATTTCAATAAACCACAAAAGTAAACGAGAGGGCAGCTGGAGAAATCCAGAGGATCCAGCCAGCCCCCAGACAAAGCTGGAAGCCGGAGCAAGCGGCTTCTGTGCGCCAGGAAAAAGCTTCCTGGGAGCTCCCCCAGGGTTCCCAGAGCACTTTGGGGAATACAAATTGTCCTTTGGAACATCTGTTGCCGAAGTCGGGGCCTGCAGATTAAATATTATGACAGCACAGAACTGGGGAAGCTGAGTTGGCCCCTGGATGGGGGACAGGGAGGTGAGGAGGGGGAAGCACCGACTTCCGATGGACCCCTCGGATCCATAGGGGTATGGACACCAAATCTGCAGGTGGCTGTTCCTGATGATGGCAAAACAGCTGGGGACACAGGGGCACAGCCTGCTCAGGGATAAACAGATTCCCAGATCCGGAGTCTGGAAAAAACAGGTTTAGAAATAACTGATTTTTTAACAGCGTTTTTCCGTCCTCCTCTCAAGTGCTTCCTGCCTTTCCTTAATGAGCAGTTTGCTCCTGGATAACTGTCAGTGACCTGGGATTTTCCTCTTCCCAGGTCTTACTGTTACTGGGGATTTTAGAATTCGCTGTGGGATTTTCCCACTGGGAATTGTGCTGTGGCTTTGGCTGTGGTGTCACGCAGAGCAGAAGCTCTGGAGGTGCTTCTGGACTGGAAATTCGACTGCTTGAACCTGGGAAGCTCAGACCCAGTGGGTGATTCTTCCCAGTCTTTCATTCCCAGGAGGAAGAGCAGGTCTTGGCTGCATTATCCCACGGTGACCAGGCAAAAACCAGAGCAAAAGTCCACGAAAATGTGTGGAGGGTGATTGAAGGTGACAAACCCAGTGGATATGGAAGAGCCATCCGTTCATTTCCGTGTGCAGCTGCCGGGATTGTTGCACCACGTGGGATCCGCGGAGTTAATAAAGGACAAAACTCACCATCTGGAATTGCACAGGATCCATTACAATTCCCTCCCTCAGCCAGGCAACACCAGCGTTCGGTGCTTTTCTGCACAAATGGCTTCGTCCTTCCTTTTTTTTTTTTTTTTTTTTAAGGCAATTAAACAAATTAACGCCATTCTCGGCGTGATTCATTAAGGGAAATTAGAAGTTTCGATGTAATTAGGGAATTGCAGCTGGAAAGACGCTCCGTTTTGCCTTTGAAAACCTGACCGAGCTCATTCCCGGCGGTTGGTTCGGGATGGGCGAGGATGGCCGGGAATGTGGTGCAAGGGCGGCCCCTGCAGACAGCCTGGATCCATGGAAAAGGGGAACGAGCCCATGGAATGAACCCTTGGAATGAACCCTTGGAATGAACCCTTGGAAAAGGCCCGGAGAGCCACCAATCGGATCCCCGCCACCTCCCCAGCCATTCGGACCTGATGAACTTAAAGGTCTCTTGTAACGCGATTTCAGGCTCAAACAAAAAAGGACATTTGATAACCCCCCCAAAATAAATGTTTTGAGTTAAAAATCGCTCAAAAAACGTGAACTCCGCTGAATTTTTGAAGCTACGTCGGGCGCGTTCTTCAAATAAAATTACCGTTTCTGACATATAAACTAAAATTCCTCGCAAAATATAGTAATTTGTTTTTTCCCCCCCACGTGTTATACTGAAACTTCAGTGTCTTTAACTTTATACTTTTATATATATTTATATTTATCTATTTATATATATTTATATATTTATATATATTTATGTATTTTTATTTATATATTATATATTTATATGTATTTAAACTTTATATATATGATAGATATATAATATACTTTTTATATATATTATATATAACATACTTTTTATATATATGAACTTTTACTTATTTTTAACTTTATACTTTTATATTTCGATACTTTCATATGGCAGAAGAAAGGAACGTGGCCTCTTGAATCCGAGGCGAGTGGGCAGGAGAGCATCACTGAATCACAGAGGAAGCTTTCCCGGGATTTGTCAGGGAATAACTCAGAGCTGGGCTGTGACTCAGGTGGTGACTCAGGATCACGGCGGCTCCCGGAGGGATGACGGAGCGTGTTCCAGAGGCACGAGGTGCTGGGCACAAATTCCCGGCTCCCCCCTGCTCCGGGCTCCCGTGGAGGGACATCATTCCCGCGGGAAGGAGGGACACCAGGATGGGGGCCTGGGGCCCTGCCAGCCCCGGGGATGGCACGGAGGGACGGGCACGGCGGGGACGGGCACAGGGACCCCAAGGGTGCCCAGACAGGGCTTTGTGGGGAGAGTCCCCTCCTGGTGCCCCCGAGATGGGCCACATTCCCCTCAGCCCAAAAAGCTGGGACATCCCGAGACATCCCCCCTGAGCAGAGCCGCATCCCCACAGGGAAACACCACGACCCATGGCCCCATCTGCCACCATCCCCTCAGCTGGGACCTCCCACCATCCCCTCAGCCACATCCCCATCCCCATCCCCTCAGCCGGGACCCGCCTCCATCCCCTCAGCCACAGCCCCATCATCCCCTCACAGACAGCCCCCCCCAGCCGCACTGTCCCCGCCGGGCGCCGTTCCCCCGCCCTCCCTGCGCGCACTGACACGACACAGTTTGTGCCCTCAGGCAGGTTTTATTTCGGCTCGGGCCCCGCGGGGCAGGGACTGCCCCAGCCGCGCCGCCGGCCCGGGGGAGCGCGGAAGGCGAGACGCGCCCTGCCCTCAGCCGCCCGCTCAACATGGCGGCGCGTGACGTCACGGGCACACGCAGCACCGCCTCCTCCTCCCCGTGACGTCACGGGCACATAAACGTTCCCTCTCCGCCTCATGACGTCACTAGCTCCCCCAGCCCACTTCCGTGACGTCACGCGCACCCACCACGCCCCCGCCCTGTCCCCGCCTTCCCGCCAGGCCCCCGCCCCGCGAGGCCTCCGCCCGGCCGGGCTGCCCCGACCCGTGCCTGTCTCCAGCGCCGCGCTCCCGCGGCCGCTGCTCGCCCTGTCCCGCCCCATCCCGGCCCCGTCCCCCCGGGCCGCTCCGCCGCTGTCCCGCCCGGCCCGTTCTCGCTCGGCTGGCGTTGTCGCGGGCGCGGCGGGCGGCGCGGCGGGCGGGCGGCGCGGGGGCAGCCCGCGGGCGGGCGGTCCGGGCCGGGCGGTGGTGCCGGGGCTCCGGAGCGGCCGCGATGCCGCTGTTCGCCCCCAACCCCTTCGAGCAGGACGTGGGTGAGCCGGGGACGGGGCGGCGCCGCGACGGGACGGGACGGGGGGCGGCGGCTCCCTCCGCTCCGTCCTCTTCCTCCCCTCCCTCTTGCCCCATGTCCGCCGGGCTCGGTGCGGGGCTCGCTGTCGGTGTGGAGGGCTGGGGGGGTGCTGGGCACGATCCCGGCATGTGTGTGCCCGGGTGGGCAGAGTCACCTGGGCTGTGCCACAGCCCCAGTGCTGGGGCACTGCTGGGACCCCAGCCAGGACATGGAGGGGCTGGAGCTGGGAAGGGGCTGGAGCAGCAGGAGGGGCTGAGGGAGCTGGGGGGGCTCAGCCTGGAGAAAAGGAGGCTCAGGGGGGACCTTCTGGCTCTGCAATCCCTGACAGGAGGGGGGAGCTGGGGGGGGTCGGGCTCTGCTCCCAGGGAACAGGGACAGGAGGAGAGGGAACGGCCTCAGCTGTGCCAGGGAGGGGCAGGTGGGACATCAGCAGGAATTTCTCCTGGAAAGGGTGGTCAGGCCCTGGCACAGCTGCCCAGGGAGGTTTGGAGTGCCCAGCCCTGGAGGTGTCCCAAGGCAGGCCTGGCCGTGGCACTCAGTGCTCTGGGCTGGGGACAAGGTGGGGATGGGCACAGGGGGATCCATGGGCTGGGAGGGCTTGTCCACCCTCAGGGATTCCACGATTCCTCCTCCCACCGTGGTGGGTTCCCGAGGGGGAGCAGCCCCTCGGTTCCTCGGCACCATCAGGAAGTGTGTGGTGTTTTTCCTGCTCTAACTCCCGAAGTTTTCCAGCTCTTCCCGCGTGTCTGGGGTGCTTCGGTGCCTCCTGCCCTCCCCTGGCACTGGCTGGGTTTGCAGGGATTCGGGGAGTTCAGGGGTTAGCTGTAAATCCAGCTGCTTTTCCTCCTTTTCCCCATGGAATTTATTACGTTATCCCTCCCAAATTCCCCCGAGCTTCCCTATAGAACCCTATAAATGCCCCCTGAGCTTCCCTGTAGGACCCTGCTGTGACACGTGGGGGGATTTTTGGGGTGTGCTGTGCAGGAGGTGACCCCCGTGGGTCCCTCCCGGCCCGGGGCACTCCGAGATGCCGTGGTTACAAAACCCGCGGCCGGGCTGGGGTGACACAATGACTCAGTCCTTTCGGGTCGAGTTCCTGCCCTGCCCTCTGCTTTCTGCAGCAGCAAAACTCCCGAGGCTGAGGGCAAATCGTTCTCCCGTTTTAATTTGTTCGCGTTTGTTTTGACCCCCCTCGTTTCGGGTTCCCGGCGCAGTTTGATGTGGTTTTTTTTTGACTCGCCTCTCACGTGGCTCAGGCTGGGGGGGGATTCCAACAATTGCAATTCTTTTCGAACTCCTGGCAAACTTATAATTCAAGGGCTTCCAGGCTGCAGAACTGGAAAAGTGGGAGTCTGTTCGCTTGCGATTTCTTAATTTTTCCTGAGCGTAAAATTTATTTATTTTTTTTTTATTTAACAGCTGAACATTAATGATTTAGAATTCGCCCGTCACTTTATTACAGCTAAGCAAGATTATTTAGAGTTTATTCCTATCACTTACTGCAATTAAACAAAACTATTTGTAACTTATAATTATCACTTATTACACTTAAACATCCAGGTTTGGGGTTTTTTGGGGGTTCATTGAGGTGATTTTTGGTGGAAAACCGGTTGGCCAGAGGAACCCCCCAGAACTCTGAGAGGCTCTAAACTTCCTGCCTGGATCTGTTCCCAGCCCACGTGCACTTGCTGTTTTCCCGTGTTTTCCTTCCCCTTCCATCCTCCTTCACCTCCCTGGTATTATTTTTATTATTTATTAATTTATCATTATTTATTTTTTATTTATTTTTATTATTTATTTTATTTGATATCCCTTTCCTTTTACTCCCTTACATTTGATTTTCTTTTTAAAGTTTTTTTAAATTATTTTTTATTATTTATTGTTTGTTTCATTTCATGTTCCTTTCCTTTTACTCCCTTACATTTAATTTCCTTTTTAAATTTTTTTGGTATTATTATTTATTTTAATTATATATTTAATTTCGTGTTTCTTTCTTTTTTTCCCCATACATTTTATTTCCTTTTTAAAGTTTTTTTTTATTATTTTTTATTATTTATTTTATTATTTATTTTATTTCATGTTCCTTTCCTTTTATTCCCTTACATTTAATTTCCTTTTACATTTTTTTGGTATTATTTTCATTATTTATTTTTATTAATTATTATTTATTTTATTTTATATTCATTTTATTCCCTTACATTTGATTTCCCTTTTAAAGTTTTTCTTTATTATTTTTATTATTTATTAATTTCATTTCATGTTCCTTTCCTTTAATTCCCTTACATTCAATTTCCTTTTTTAAGCATTTTTTGAGTATTATTTTTTAATATTTATTTTTATTATTTATTTTATTTCATATTCCTTTCCTTTTATTCCCTTACATTTGATTTCCCTTTTTTATTTTTTGTATTATTTTTATTTTTTATTTGATTTTATGCTCGTTTCCTTTTATTCCCTTATGTTTTATTGCCTTTTTAATTTTTTGGTATTATTTTTTATTATTTATTTTAAATTTTTATTTATTTATTTTTTATTGAACTTTATGTTCCTTTCCTTTTACCTTCCAGCTTCCCTCTAAGGCCTCACCTGCTCTCAGTGTCAGCCAGGACAGATTCATTTCTCACTCTGCAGTAATTCCTGCCTTCCCTATTTTATCCAAAATCTTGCAAATATTTGAGAACAACCCAACTGGACTTTTTTTTTGGGGGGGGGTTTTGCTTTGGTGTTTCTTTTATTTTTGACTTGGCTGATTAAAACCCCTACCCCGAGCCTGCATTTTTATCTCTCTCATTGTTGAGATGTCTTTTATTTTCCACTTTTCCCACACCAACTGTATTTTTAAACGCTTTGTGCAAAATCTGAAATATTGGTGTGCAGACAGGGTTTCATTTCACGTCCTTTCAGGGGCAGATTGGTCTGGAAAATTGCGATTTTGGGCTGAAAGTGGCTTAGTAGTGATTTTTTTGGTGCTAAATCAGGGCTTGTTTTCTCTGTTTCTTGCACAAAAAGTGAGCCAGGTGGAAAAAAAATGTTATTTTCTAGTATATATGGATTTGGGAAGCCTGGCCCCAGGGAATGGAGGACTGGAATAACAAAATATTTGGCAGTTTGGCAGGTTGGTGGAGCTGCCAGAGTGAGGAGCTGCTGCTGGAAAAGATGGACACGGGCAGGATTTGGGCATTGCCTGCTTCCCATCCTCAGGATTTCTCTTCCCCTCATATTTGGTCTAATTTCTGTGTGTTATCCATCCCTTTCTTGGGAAAAAAGGGGAAAGAAATGGTGCCATGAGCTGGGAGAGAGGCTGGAGCACCTTCCCAGGAGGAGAGGGTGGGAGGATTGGGATTGTTCAGCTGGAGGAGAGGAAGGTCCAGGGAGACCTTGGAGCCCCTTCCAGGGCCTAAAGGGGCTCCAGGAGAGCTGGAAAGGGACAGGACAAGGTTGATTTAGGTGGGATATTGGGAAGGAATTCTTGGCTAGGAGGGTGGGGAGGTGCTGGGATGGATTTCCCAGAGAAGCTGTGGCTGCCCCTGGATCCCTGGAAGTGTCCAAGGCCAGGCTGGAGCAGCCTGGGACAGGAGGTGGGACTGGATGAGCCTTTAGGTCCCTTCCAACCCAACCCATTCCATGATTCCCTGACACCCAGCTTGGGGTTGGCTGTTGTGTGGTGCAGGGATGATCCCGAGACGCTTCCCCCAGCGGCACAGCATTCCCTCTTTTCCTGGGAGGCTGTTTGGAGGCTGGAGCTCCGCAAGCTTTTTCCTCCTTTTGGCAGGAATAGCAGCAAACAACTCCCAGCCCCTTCCCAGCTGCTCCTTGCGGGCTGGCACAGCTCCTGCTGCAGCTGCACATCACCCACCTCCAAATCTCCAACTGGGGCTTCCTCCTTCCTGCCTTTTGGAACCCCCCAGGCAGCAGGTTGTGAATGGATTGTTATTTCTGTCACAGCACACTCAGCTCCGGCGTTCCCGCGTGGATTGGGGGATGCAGAGGGTCAGGCAGGGCACGGGGTTAGGGGTTGTACTCTCCTAGCACTGGAAAACATCCTGGAAAACGTGTCCTCCCACAGCTGTTCTGCTGATCAAATCCAAGTCTGAGCATCTGGGAAGGAGTTATCCTTCCAAAGCATCTGGGAAGGAGTTATCCTTCCAAAGCCCCTGTGGGAAGGAGGAAAGCAGGTGGTGTTTAATTCGGTGTGCTGGGAGCAAGAGGAGTCTCCAGAGCTGGGAGGGTTTAGTGTTGGGGTTGGGATCCTCCCCAGAGCAGGCTGTGTGGGTGCAGGGGAGGGATTTGCCTCTGACATTCTTCCAGGTAGGGATGTGCTGGCTGGGGGAGAGGGAAAAGGCCCGGGAATTGTGGGTTGGGAGCACAGAGTGGAGCTGTGCTGTGGTTTGGGATGTGGAAGATGTGGAGGGAGGGATGGGCCTGGAGAAAAGGAGGCTCAGGGGGGATTTTCTCACTCTCTGCAACTCCCTGATGGATCCAGGTGGGAGTTGGGCTCTGCTCCCAGGGAACAGGGACAGGAGGAGAGGGAACGGCCTCAGCTGTGCCAGGGGAGGGGCAGGTGGGACATCAGCAGGAATTTCTCCTGGAAAGGGTGGTCAGGCACTGGCACAGCTGCCCAGGGAGGTTTGGAGTGCCCAGCCCTGGAGGTGTCCAAGGCAGGCCTGGCTGTGGCACTCAGTGCTCTGGGCTGGGGACAAGGTGGGATTGGGATTGGGCACAGGGGGATCTGTGACCTTGGAAATCTCATCCAGCCTCAGGGATTCCATGATTCACTTCCTGGTGAAGCCTGTAATCATCACACCTTCCTGGAGCCACGGGCAGAGTTGGGAGTGTTCCACCCCTGGCAGGCAGAGCTGGGCTTGGTTTCCACTCAGGGTCCAGGAACACTTCAGTACATCCTCGGGAAGCACTTCCCAGTGTTCTGTGCAGGATGAAAGTGCCACCTGTGCCTTCCTGACAAGCACCAGGAGGGCAGGGAAGCTGCCCTTGGAAGGATCCAGAGCTCACACAGTTCTCTTGCTGACCTGCCACCCTTTCTCCCTGTTCCCTGCTCCCTCCCTGCTCCTGGAAAAAGAGGCCTCTCTCAGAAATCCCAGGAATTCCAGAGTGGTGACCCCAGGCAGTGTGCCCAGGCTGTTTTCCAGGCCTTGGTGCTCTTTGTCCTTGGCTTTCTGGGCACAGCTGGTGGCTGCTGGAATTCCAGGAGCAGGATTCCTGGAGGATTTACCCCCTGGGGATGGGGATGTGCTTTCAAAAAGCTGATTTTTCCCTGGCAAAACTTGCCAGGAAACCCCAAGCTTTGTGCACCAAACAGTCCATGATAACCTTCCATGACTGTCCAGCGCTGGGGGTTGGTCTATCCAGGGAATCTCCAACCTCCAGGGGCTGATTTGGTTTGAATTTAACTCGATTTTTTTAAACTAAGTTGAATATTCAAGCGTTTCAAAGCTCAGCCACTCATTTATTTTCCACAACACCAATGAGATTTTTTCTTTGTTCACGCCCTAAAATGTTGCTGCACTTCGAAGAGAATGTGACCCTCGTGTCATTGATCTGCAATATTTAAAATTAAAATTAAAATAATAAAACTTAAAGCACAAATAAACAGCAGGAAGCCTTAGCAGTTTATCTCTAGAAATGAGTGTCCCTGCCCATGGCAGAGGAGCTTTGAGGTCCCTCCCAGCCCAAACCACCCCCTGATTCCAGGAAATGTGAGTTATTGGTAGATACCAGCATTAGGGAATGTGGTAGGATGGCTGGCTGGAATCTGAACAAAGGGCTCACACCTCATAAAATCTCATTTTTCCTTGCAGAGAAAGCTACCAATGAATACAACACCAGCGAGGACTGGGGGCTCATCATGGATATTTGTGACAAAGTGGGGAGCACTCCCAACGGGTGAGTTGGGCCTCAGAATTCCCTGGAATTCCGGGTTGGTGTGGTGGATATTTCTGAGGGAAAAGCCTCAAAGTGCTCAAATTCCACAGATAACGTGGCCTTGGCTCTGAAGTTCTTTAAAAGCAATATTCCAGCAGGATTATTCCAGCACAAAACCAAGGGCATTCCAGGGTTTTTTCTGGAATTTCGCACAGCAGCCCGAGTTATTCCTAGTGAATAGGCTTAAATTTTGCAGAAAAATATCTATTTATGATGAGAAATCCAGGGTTAATTAGCAGGAAAAATGGGACTGAGGGAGGAGAAAAGGGGAAAACCAGGGATCAAAACACAGATCACTCGGAATCAGTTTAAGCTGAGTGGCAGTACTGGGATATAAAGGGAATTTCAGGGATCTTACAGTGGCCAGAAGATGTGGAATTTTAAGGTAAGATGCTGCATTTTAAGGCATTTTTTGCAGTGATAGCATGTTTTAAATTTTTAATTAAACCTCAATTAGTGCACAGGCAGGATTCTGAAGGCATTTAGAATTTATAGAATTTGATTTAGCAGTTGTATTTAACATATAAGATTATGACACTGAGAAAACTGAGGGGTTTTGGGTTGTTTTGTTGTTTTCTTTGTTTGTTTTTAATTAATTACCTCCCACAAGGAATAATAGCAAATCTGTTCCATCTTTTATTAAAAAACAGTGGGTTTAGTGCCAATTTTGTCAAGGGAACTGTTTTAAATCTGGTTTTGGAGGGGGCCAGATTGTAAAAAATGCAGTGGTTTGTTTTTTAAGGGCACGTTCAAAAATATAGCTATATCAAAATACATCATTAAATCTTACCTATGTGATTTTTTTACATGAGATCAAATCCTAAACTCTGAATTTTCAAATTGCTTCAGTTTTGGGTAGTTTTCATCCCTCTTGCCCACCACTAAGATAATAATAATCATATAATGAAAGCAAATAAATATACAACTTAAATAACTCTATAACTTAAAATCAACTAAGCTGGCTTTGTTTGTACCTGAATTAGGATAAAAATATTAAGAATAAAAGCCTGTTTCTGTGGCACAGAGACTTTTCTGTGCTCTGCTGCTACAGCAGCTCAAGGGATGTTAGTTTTTAAAATGCAGCATCAGCTTTTTCAGGGGGATTTCATGTTTTTAGGAGCTCGAAATAATAATAATAATGTTAATGAGGCTTTTCATCTGCCTGAGCCCATGTAGCTCCTGCTGCCATTAATGCTCATTTAGAGTGTGGAAAAACTCCTCAGCTGGAACATTTAAAATGCTATTTATTATTCTCTACCCACCTCAGATCGTGCTGAGAGAAAAGATGAGATCCTTGTGTCCCCAGGCTCTGGAAAAGGGGATTCCAAGGTGGAAATGAAATCCTTTGCAGTGGCCTCTAAAACAACCATTTATTTAGTAATTTTTTTTTTATAGTGACATTTCTTCCATTGTCTAATTCGACTTAAAATATCATTTTACCCCTTTGTTTGGAAATGGATACAGAGGGAAATGGAGCCCTTTCCAGGCCAGGGCACAGACAGGAGCAAACAGGTTGTTAAATCTCTTTTGGGCCCAGCCCTGGGAGGGGTTTTCAGGTCTGGGGACATTTTTTGTGTCCAGCAGTTTGGTTGCTCAGCCAGCTGGAGTGGCTGCTCTCACTCCTTGCAGGCACCTGCATTTCCCCCTGGTTGTTTCTGATTGTTTCTGATTGTTTGTGATGGTTTCTCTGTTCCCTTTGGCAGAGCAAAGGATTGCCTTAAAGCCATCATGAAGAGGGTAAACCATAAAGTTCCCCACGTGGCTTTGCAAGCACTTACAGTGAGTAAATCCCCACTGTTCCCCCCCAAAAAGTGATATTCTTTGTGCAATACAGCCATTACTTAAGCAATTAACACCTTTATTCAGTTAATAACTTCATTAACACACAGTCTGTTGAATTGAACCCTTTTATTTTGGGTTATTTTCACAGTTTTCACCCTTTTTTCCCAATTGTACCTCTGGTTTTTGCAGCTTTTGGGAGCCTGTGTCTCAAACTGTGGGAAGATATTCCACCTGGAAGTGTGCTCTCGGGATTTTGCCACCGAGGCTCGAGCAATAATAAATAAGGTAATGCCTTTGCAACCCTGAGTGCTGGGAGAGGATTGTTTTGGCCATTTCTCTGCTTTGTCTCAGCATAACAAAACTAATATTCTGGTTAATACACTTTTTCTGGTTTTGGTGCAGTGGCAGGAGCTGCTCTTTGTGTTTTCAGTGATATTTGTGATTCTTCCTGTCAAAAAGAATGGATTGAAGAAGTGACAGCTGCTATTTTTCCAAATGACATGAGCAGTTTTAATTGAAATTAAAATCTCTGACCCTTCCCAAACTCGATTAATTTGATCATGGTAAATGCAGCTTTTCTTGAAGAGGGTTTTATTGGCCTGGAATGAAACCCTGAAGTGAAAGGGAAAGCTGTGAGAAAGTTAAAGCACCTTTTTACCAGGAAAAGGGTAAAATCTGCAGACAATTCTCCAGAGATTCTGAGGGTGTTGAAAGAGAAAATAACCAAGAGAGGAAGACTTGAATGTTGGGGTCCAGCAGCTGATGGGATTTAATGTGGATGTGAGGAACTGAAAAGCACACCCAGCTTTTCCCAGGTTGCTGCTCCAGCTGGAGCCACACCTGGTTAATGGGTTAAAAAGGAGTTTTCAGCTGCATGGGAGCCCTGGAACCACCAGGGGTTGAGCAAAGCAATTAAGGGAACTTAATAAAATTGCTGGGAAGCAAAATGAGTTCACAGCTCTCCTGCCTCTTGCTTTCTGTGGAAAAATAGGTCTCCAAGTGCTCCCCTTTTCTCCTTACCCACGGTCCAGGCTGAACCAGAACTTGACCTTCATGGTCTGACAGCCCCAGGAATGCCAGGGAAGCCTGGAATCCCCTGGGAGGGTGGGCTGCTGGAGAGAATTCACTGTGCTTTGGGGAAATTATTGCTGTTTTACCCCTGTCCCTGGCCCACTTTGGGGCAATAATGTGCAGAGGGCAGATCAAAGTTGTCCTTTGCCCCTTTTCTCTAGGTGGGAATTCAGTCCCGTGTCCCAAATTTTTGTGCTGATACCGAGCCCATCAAACTATGGCTTTACTTGGAATTAAAGGCACGTTGGAGCCCAAACCTGGGAATGTTCTCACTGCTCAGAACATGCTCCCAGGCTTCCAGTGGGAGCTGATTCCCTGGCTGAGGAATCCTGTGCAGAGGCTGGAGGAGGATGTGGGAGCAGAGGAATTGCAGGCAGAGCAGGGACCTGAGCTTGCTTTGCCCCCCCAGCTCCAGGCAAACATCTCAGAGCTTCCCTGCCCCTCAGCTCCCAGTCTGGGAGCACAAACTGTGCCAGGAGCTGGGTGGCTTTATGGAGAGTTCCTTTTCGTGGGAGAAGCTGATTCAAGGAGACAGAGGGGGTGGTTCGGGGATCAGGGCTCGGTGAGGCTCTCTCAGCTGGCAGAAATGTGTTCTGGCAGCTGGGGAGGAACTGCAGAGGTCAGGAAAGGCAGGGAAGGGGGATTGTCTTCCAGGGAAAGGCAGTGTCTTATGTTAGACCAACTCTTGTGGTGTTGGGAGGGGAATCACAAAAGGAATGGAGAGGAAATTGAGGTAAAATGGAGGGGCAGAAATTTGGGGAAGGTGTGGTAGGTGGCCTGAATTCTCTCCAAAACTAGCGAGGTGGAAACGTGGCTAACATCTGAAAAGTCAAACAGTTTGTCTTTTAACCCTTCCTTAACCACCTAAAAGTGAATTTAAAACACCAGCACTCTTCCTGTGCATTCTGAGGTTCAAGCACGTTCCTTTCCTGTGCGATTTTGTCTTCCAGGCTCATCCCAAAGTGTGTGAGAAGCTCAAAACCCTCATGGTGGAGTGGTCAGAGGAATTTCAGAAAGACCCCCAGTGCAGCTTGATATCTGCAACTATCAAATCTCTAAAAGAAGAAGGGGTCACTTTCCCTGCAGCTGGATCACAGGTACAAGGAATTCACTGTTCCTGGGAACAGGGAAAAATATGTCTGGCAGTGGTGATTGGAGCTTTGGATCCGAGGAGAGCAGGCTCCTGGTTCCTGTTGGGCTCCTCCTTAGGCTGAGCTTCACTGCTGGCCATTTTGGGTTTTTTTATGAATTAAAAAAATGGGAAAGTTAGAAAAAGAAGACCAGACTGAAGGCCCTCCCATGGTGCCCCTGTGAGTTGTTTCTGTTTCTCCCAAAGATTTTTAGAGCTTTGTTTTCCTGTCACCCCCTTAACCTGAAACAGTTCTGTACCCACACTTGGAATTTGGTGTTTCCTGGCTCTCCTTTTGCTGCCAGGGAGCACAAACACCTTCCTTCTCCCTCACAGAGCCTCCCAAAACAAAGGGCAGTGCAACAGAGACATTTTGGAACAGGATCTGTGCTGTGGTTTCCTTTCCAGGTCCCCATTCCCTGTCTGGGCAGTTCCCTGTCCTTGTCAGGGGTTGTCCTGGATTTTGCAGTGGTTTGTTCTTTACTTTTTCTGGTTTATTATGATTATTATGATATCTGACTGGCAGATGTCATGCCCACTGGCTTCTTTCTAACCTTTATTCTTGATGCTCCTAAATATTTCCATGTTCATCGTGAGTCAGGTGCAGATCAGCCCTGAAAATTCCAATGACAGCTCCTGTTCCATATTCCTTGCCCCAAGTTTACTTCGCTCTGCATTAAACACTGAGGGGTTTTTTAACTTCTACAATCTTTCCTTCCTCCACAAAGATGTTTTCACTCCTCAATCCAGGCTATGTGTTAAAACATATGGTGGAAACATGGAAGGTTTGAGCACTGGCACCCAGTCCCACTTCCCTGGGGGAATGAAAACTCTAGGAATGATTTCCCTGTGCTGCTGTGGAGTCAGCAGCTCCCAACTGGAGCATCTCCCCATTGGAAAGGAGTGGGGGGAAGGACAAAGAGTCATTTAAATGAGTAGCCTCACTTCAATAAATATGACTAAATGGAACAAATACGACTAAAATAATTATTTAAACGCTGTTTATGTTAAATCTCAGTATTTATTTTACTTCTTTCCACGCTGAAAACAAATTAAAGAGCTTGGCTGAGGTTCTGAAGAGTGGTGATTTTTCCTTCTAGAAAGTCATCTTGATTCCTTAAAGGCAGCTGACCAGTGCTATTTTTTTCAAGTTTATAATTATAGAGATTTTAGAGTTTTTCATTTGTAACCTGAATTTTCTGTTGTTCCTACCTTTGCAGGCTTCCACCAACGCTGCTAAGAATGGTTCATCAGCCAGCAAAACCAAAGAAGATGAAGATATAGCTAAAGGTGAGTTCCATCTATGCTCCAGAAGTTCTGGTAAAAAAGCAGGGAAATGGGAATTTGGGGGCTCTTTCCTGCCACGTGGAGTTGAAATGGAATTCCCAGCAGGCTGGCAATTGGAATGCTGTGCCATTCAAGGCGTTTCCTCCCCCATGAGGATTTGGGGTAAGAAATATTCTTGCCCGTCCCAGCCATTTAAACCTGCAATTTGAAATCTCAGAGAGGCAGGCCACTTTTTAAACAACACAATAAACACTGTTTGTATTCCACTGAGAAACCCAGCTGCCCTCGTGTGCAGGGATAAAACACCCCAGACACTGGATTTTCCTGTCTCCCTTCCTTGTAGCCATCGAGTTGTCGTTGCAAGAGCAGAAGCAGCAGCAGATGGAGACCAAAGCCTTGTACCCCAGTGCAGAAACCCCCCCAAACACCCAGAGCCTGAGGAAGGTGCGAGCCCTGTATGACTTTGAGGCTGTGGAGGACAATGAGCTCACCTTTAAGAGTGGAGAGATCATTTTTGTTTTGGATGACAGGTATGACACGCTCACACGGAGCGGGGGCTTTGTGCCACGGTTGTTTATTCCACAAAACGTTGTTTTCTTGGGATTGCTCAGTTTTTCCTCTGATGCTTTTTCCCCTTCCCCATGGAAACCTACTGCCACTCTGGCCTCCCTCACACTCCTTCATCTTCACTTTGTCTTCCCATCCTCCTCGTTTTTGACCTCAAATCACTTTTAGTGCAGGCAGACTCAAACATTTCGTGCAATCTGTAGTTTTTAAGATAAATGTTAGTTGGTTGTGTGACATCACAGAGGTGGAATTCCAGCTGCTTCCAGCATTTGTTAAGTCTCTGGCTATCGAGGAGCACATTTGGTAGGAATAAAACTGATTATAAACAGCTGAAATAATTCTTGTTGTTATCACCTGTAATATATAGAGTTGTAAAAGGATCAGTATTAAGTATTGATGAATTGTGGTAAGTTTTGAGTGATTCCTGATTTCTCTTCCTCCCTTCCCTCCCCTCTGCCCCAGCTCCTGCCTGTGGCTTTGAGTTAATCTCTGTACTCAGGATCTCAGGTTTCCTGTAAAAAGCCCCAAATAACGTCTCTGATTTAACATCCAGGGTTTTTAATCCATCTTTATTCCCCCAGTGACGCCAACTGGTGGAAAGGTGAGAACCACAGAGGAGTGGGGCTGTTCCCATCCAATTTTGTGACCTCTGACCTGACTGTGGAACCCGAGGCAGGTGAGTGACCTGCCAAAACTCCAGGGATTGTTTTAGAAAGGCAGGTTTATGTTTAGTTGCAGCTAATTAGCCCTCCCCAGCATAATAATTCCCTGATAACCATCCTGGGGAAGGAACTGAGAGCCATCCTGCCCTTGTTTCCAACAAGCCACCACAGCTCACTGAAATCTTTGTTTTCTGCTCTGAGTTTCCCTCTTGCAGAAATATGGTTGAGCTCACCAGCACTGTTTGTCAGAAACCTGTTCCATATGAATGCAGCAAACTTCAAATGTCACCTTCCCCCCTCAGACACAGGAACAGCATCCACACCCGTGGCAGGGGGTTGTCAGAGTCACATTGTTGGCTCCATCCGAGCCCATGGTTCCAAAATCAACCCCCAGCACTCGGGACTTGGCTGGAAGGGAATGTGCTGGAGGTGGTTTTTTAAGCTTGCAGGTTTTCTGGGCAAACCCTTTCCCTGGGTGCATCAGTGCCTGAAGTACTTACTCAGACCCCTCTGCCCTTCAAAGGGCTGGTGGATGACAGGCAGGAGATGTGTGTTTTGAGTTCATGTGGGGCTGCAGAAAATAAACTCCTCTTTGTTCTTCCAGCAGCTGTGGATAAAACCTCTGCTCCCGAGGATAGTGCAGAAGAAATTAAGAAAGCAGAGCCTGAGCCAGTTTATATAGATGAGGTATGGAGCCACTTGAAATGTAAAATATTGCTGAGCTTTTCCAGCCTTTTGCCACTGAATGTTGGCAGATAATTTCTTTTTGCATCAAGAACTTTTATTTGAAAATTCAAACAGTCTCTCTGCCGTGGTTGGGGAAATAAAAGTTCGTAATCTTGTCTTCACCTTCCAGGATAAGATGGATAAAACACTGCAGGTGCTCCAGAGCATAGATCCTACAGATTTAAAGCTTGATTCTCCAGATCTTCTCGACTCAGAAGGTACTTGGAGCACTAAGCTATTTTTTTTACATCATTTCTGCTCACAATTACCTTTTGTGGCTCGAGCTGGTGGCTCTTTTGTGTTTATTTTAAGCTTGGAGGAACCGTGGTCTGTACCAAGGGAGTGCTGCAGAACAGTTTCTCTCTCAGTGGGAGCGTGGGGCTCTGTGCATAATTTGAATTTCTTTAATAGTTCCAAGCCAGCTCCATGTTTAGCAGAGCAATTTGCATAGCTTCCAGCTCACATAAAATGCCTGATCTTTGCAAGATCCAAATCCCAGCTCTGAACTAAGCATTTACTGAAATAACATTAAAAAAATCGGGAGTTTTACCCAGCTACACGAAAATCAATTGCTTGTTTCAATAAATGCTTTGGGCTGCATTTAAAACCCTTAATTGTGCAAGGCATTAACCACCTCAACACTTTGTGCTCACAGATATCTGCCAGCAGATGGGCCCAATGATAGATGAAAAACTAGAAGAGATAGACAGGTGAGCCTCACAAAGCTTCCTTCTCCTGTTTGCTGATTTGCTTCAACTTGTGCAGTTGGAATAACATTATTTTTTGGTGCTTTCCATCACCCAAGCAGGAAAAAAAAACTGTGACAGCCCTGCCTTTGTGTTTTAATGCTGAAGCACTGAGTTCCCAGGGGCTGCACTCAGATTGGGTTGCTGCTCTCCAAAATTCACTGCACGAGTCATGGGTGCAGTTTATTGTGGCATTTTTTTGGCTGGAGCCTTTTGCAGCCTGGCCAGAGGTTGGAATTTTCAGTGTCCTGCTCGCCATCCACGACAGGAAAATCTACTGAGTGTTATCTTCACCTCTCCCTCCTCAGATTTGGGCTTCCAAGACCTGAGGGAGCCAGGACAGATGGAGAGGGGCTTTTTACAAGGGCTGGAGGGACAGGACACAGGGAATGGCTTCCCACTGCCAGAGGGCAGGGACAGATGGGATATTGGGAAGGAATTGCTGGCTGGGAGGGTGGGCAGGCCCTGGCACAGGTTGGGCAGAGAAGCTGTGGCTGCCCCTGGATCCCTGGAAGTGTCCAAGGCCAGGTTGGACGGGGCTTGGAGCAACCTGGGCTAGTGATGATTCTTAATTTCCCTTCCAACCCAACCCATTCCATGATTCTGTGATTCCTGGGGATATTTGGGGGTGAAAATACCCCTGGGAGAGTTGCTTGTCTCATGGCAGCTGGGGAGGGACAGTTTTGCACCACTTGGGCTCTCCCTCCAGTCCCAGAACAGCAGCTTTCCAATATAAATAGGTAAAAAATCGACCATTTACCTCTTGAAGGTTTCTTTTCCTTGCACATTCCCAGCTGTTTATGAACCATTTCCCTCTTTACCCCCTCTAACAAAGCTCAGTATCTCTGTTCCTTTGTTTTGAAACAGGAAACATTCCGAGCTGTCGGAGCTGAACGTGAAGGTTCTGGAAGCTCTGGAGCTCTACAACAAGCTGATGAATGAGAGCCCCATGTACTCAGCCTACTCCAAACTGCACCACCCTGCACAGTTCCCACCCACGTCCTCGGGGGTCTCCGTGCAGGTCAGCATCCCTCTGGGATCCGGGAATAAAAATAGGGATTTCTGTTTGGAAGGATGACAGAAAACACCCAGTGAGCCCACGAGCAACCTGACACTGCCTGGGGGCTTTTTCACAGCCTGGACAGGAAAACCTGGTGGATGCACTGCTGGCTTTGCATGGCCAATTGTGAAAACTCCCCGAGATTCCTGCCATGATTCCTGTTCTTTTTACCCTTGGAATTGTGTGCCTCAGCAGTTCCTGCTGTGAGTCACGCCAGCCTCCAAGTGGAACGTTCCCTTCTTACTTAATAGAGGGGCTGGGGGTGAACTGCGCTGTGATATTAATCCCAAGGGGTTTTGGGTTTTTTTTTTCTAAATATGGGAACACCCTGCTTTGAGGTCTCTTTTTCAAGGAAGGCCCACATTCCATGGGTTCTGATTCCCGGATAGGAACACAGTTATTAGTTCCCAGCACACAGGCAGGCTCAGGAGCGCTTCACCCTGTCCCCAGCGTGCCTGCTGATGGCTCAGGGAGAAAAACAGGGGGGAAGGAGAGGTTTTAAAGCACAGGAATGGGGGGTTTGCCTGAAGTGGATTTTACTTTAATGTTAATTGTTCTGTGGGAAAAGAATAGTTGCCATGGCAACTGCCAGATCTGAAAATATGTCAGTTAAAAGTAATTCCGTGTCCTTAACTCCCGGTGACGATGGAAGATTCATTCTGTTTGGAGGTTAGAAAGTAATTTAAGCCAAAAGGCGACTGGAGTTTGCTGTTCCTTCCAAGATTCCTGCTTCCAGTGGCCAGAAATGCAGGATAACGCTGGCCGTGCTGGGCTCGGGGTGGTTATTTGGGACAAACCTTTCCTTCAGTGCCCATAAATCATCCCAAATCCAAAGCCAGCGAGCCCCTTAGTGCTGTGATACCTGGATTTGGAGGAAATCTTGTATTATTTAAGCCAGAAATGCGAGAAGTTAAAGGGGTTTGGTTTCCACAACGTGCTACAGGAATCTCAGGCTCCTGCTGGATTTTCTTTGCAGTCATATCCCGTGCAGCCTCCCAGTGGGAATTACATGATCCAGGGGGTCCAGCAGGTCTCCATGTCCCCAGGGTACAGCCTGGCACCCCAAAGCCTCAATTCCTCTGGAGCCACTCAGCCACCTCAAGCTGCTTATATAAGGTATGGATCCACCAAATCCCTCTTCCAGGCGGGAATTTGGCTGCTTGGCCTGGAAGTTCCACGTTCTTGTCGTGTTTATGTTCACGGTGACGCTTAATTTGGAAAGGAAAACACCAGTTTTACTGAACTGGGTGTCAGTGGGAACTTTACTAGGGATAAAATTGATCCTGCAGGGGGATGTTTGCCAGGAAGATTTTAAGGGATGAAGGTTGGAAAGGAACCTCAGACTTGAGGTTTAACCACACGGCCCCAGAGAGTAAAAGTTAAAGAGATTACACAGATATTTAATATATTAATTCAACATATTTCACAGAATATTCTGAGTGGGGAGGGACCCACAAGGATCATCGAGCAGTAAAATTATTGGGGGTGAAAACATTTTTCCTGCAAAACCCATAAAATCCTGCCAAGTTACAGGCATGAAAAGTATGGAAATGAAGTATTCCCAGGAAATTCTCTGGTTATTAACATGGGAGAGCTACAGGAGGGGAAGCTGGGTCAGGTTGTGAGGGGGGGTGTGTGTGTAAAAGCTGTATTTTTGTAGTCAGGAAGCCACTCAGTCCCCTGAAAACTGATTGTCAAATTTATGTTTTCAGAGCCCGCAGCTCGCTCTGGGGGCTGACAGTGGTGCTGTTTGTAGAGCTGACCGTGAGGCAGATGGATGATTGGTGAGAGTGAGCCTTGTGTTGTCTCCCCACAGCCCCGGCCCCGACCCTGCTGTGCCTCAGCCCTTCCCGAGCGCCGGCACGGCCGCCTTCCCCCCGCCCCCGATGGGAATGCCCGTGGACATGGCAGCCTTCCAGAGCACCACGGCCACCCTGCCTCAAGGACCAGCTTACCCCGTGGCAGTGCCCGCTCCCTCCCTGCTCCAGCAGCAAACAAATTACCATCAGCAGCCTCTGCTTTAAAACAACCAGCTCCTATTCCTGAGTCAGGGAATGACCGCCCGACCCAACGATCTTTCTGAAGCCCTGCCGTGGATATCCAAGTACATCTTCCTTTTCCGATAACCCAGCTCGCTGCAGAGTGAAAAACAGGCACCAGCTCTGATGGTGATTTGCATATTTGCATCTTGAACTAGATTAGGGGATGGTTTAAAATAATTCCAGATTCCTTTGAGCCCTTTTTTTTCTTCCTGCGCTTTCAGGAAACGCCACTTGTGAATCTTTGAAAGATGGTCCCAAAATAATTGCCTTTTAAAGTCGTTTCTGGGGACTGGAGGAAGCTGAGACGTCGCTCAGTGTTGCTTTTTGCCTCCTCTGGTGTCTCCTGTAATCCTTCTGTCCCGGGGGCTTTAGGGAATCTCTGCAGTTTGGAGACCTGGAATGGGAGCGATCCCCGAGTCCAGCTGGAAGAGGGTTTGGTGTGGTGACAGTGAGGACCATCATCCCGTGGGAACAGGAGGTTTTTACAGGGATATTTTGGAAAAATCCAGGCAACTGGAGTGTTCTTCTTGAAGGAAACAAGTTTTACCAGAATTCCCTTGTCTTTTGGCAGAGGTGGCACTGCAAGCACAAGTGTCCTTGGGAAGAGCTGGCAGGGGATGCTCCCAGCTGGATCCAAGGTGCTGAGCCAGGAACTTGCACAGAATCCCTTTTTCTTTTCTTTTTTTGGACGTGTTTAGAAGTGAAGGAGCGTTGTGATTCCTTGTGGGAAAGGAGGGGGGCTCGAGGATGTTTGGAGCTCCTTAGGACTGCGAGGATCTGCCTTGTTCCCCTTCCAAGGAGGAGCTGAGTGGAACGGGAATCGCCTTGATGGGACCAGGGGGTTCTTCCTCTCTTGGATTTCCTTTCTCTGCCACCGTGTCCGTGTCCAAATAACCATGGATCACAGAGGAACTTTGGGAAGGGTGGATTTAAGGCCAAATCCACGTGCTGGTGGGTGGGAATGGTCCCCCCCACACAAGGAGTGGGAAACAACAGCCACATCCTGGAGCTGGGAAGTGAGGCTGAGAAAAGAAATCCAAGGATTTCTTCCCTGATGCACTTTTTAAAGGGGTGGGGTTTGCACGAGGGAGCAGATGAGCTGGATTATCTTTATCCATATCCTGGGAATGTGGGATTTCTTTCTTTTTCTGTTTCAACGCTGAAAAAAATCACTTTATTCTCTTCCCTCCTCACTGTAGCAAGGTCACATTTATACCTGCTCTAACACCCTCTGGGGAGTCATAACCCTTAGACTGGGGAAATAAGGGAAGCAATTCACTGATGAAAACATCTGGATTAAACCCATGGAGCTCCCAGATGTCTCCAGAAGCATTTTTGGTGTCTGAGTTTTGTCCCCTGATTGGAAGTCCCGGATTCTGGGCTGTGGAGTGACCAAACCACCCCCCCTTCACTCAGCACCTCCTCCACTGGTTTCACCTTTTATTTAATGATCATGACCCTCTGTTCACCTGCAGCCTCGTGCTCATGCAATAAGGTGTTGAGAACCTGCTCTTCAAATCACTTTTTTTGTTCAAATCGGTGCAATCGGGGAGGGAGAATTTCTGTCTTTCCTTTGGACAGGCCTTTAATTTGTCCTGATCCTTCCCCTGGGAGCTGCTCAGCACAAACAGCACCCGTGGCAATACTGAAGTGTTTTGATAACTTTGTTCCTTGTGTCTTTTAAGGAGGTGGATTGATTTCAATGCTGCTCTTCCAAATTCTTGTCGTTTTGGAGCTTTTGTTGTAAGAGTTGACTTCGTTCCGAGTTGGTTTGTGGTCGAATTAAACCTCGCTGTCGTCGGTGTAAATCCCCCACGCTGGTTGGGAATTTGGGATTGCTGTTTTCTCCAAGCTTTGGCCCCAGAGAAATCTCGAGTGGAGCCAGCCAGACGTGATTTGATTATGTTCAGTTCATTGTTAACTATAAATAATGTATATACTCATTTGTCTGAGGTTTTCTACGCAGCTCCACACGCGCCTGGACTTTTCTAAAAGCAGGATTTGTCCTCCTCTCATCTCTTCTCTTCCTAACTCTGCGATATGCAACTTGTAGATAGTGTAAAATAATTTAATTATTAATTAAACCAGTGTATTTAGAGGGGGGGTGCTGTTTCTCTTCACACTTGTAGACACGATCATATTTATTTTTGAGGCCTGATTGTAACAGAACACGCTGCCAAAGGATTTCTCTAACTCCAGATTTCTACCTGAGGTTTGTACCTGCTGTTTTCTATCAGGAATTCCCAGTGGAGAACTCCTGCTTTTTCATAGCAACCCTTAACACAGGAAGCCCGGGCGACTTTGTAACGAGAACTCTGTTGGGATACGTTTGTTCCGTGGGTGTTCAGTACCAGTAATAGATCCATTTCCTCCTGCTGTGAGTTGGTGACCTGTTCTTGTCTGTTAAACTCGGCCTTGCCACCCCACCCAGGGTGGGCCGAGGGGTTGTGCTGTCACCTGACCGTGACCAAGGCTTCGTCTGTTCAATTGGCTGCAGAAATGACGTTAAAAATCAGATTGTTTAAACCTTCCAAAGGATGCTGCGTGTTCATTGTGCTGGTGGGACAGCGGGCTGGAGCTGGGACCTCCCTCAGGAATCATTTCCTGAGAGGAACAGGATTTTATTCCCTTATTTTTATCTCTTGTAAGAACCTCTTGGTTACACTGAGCACTCTGAGGTGCCTGGAGTGAGTCAGGTTTGTTCACAAACACACCTGAGGAGGATTCTCTTGGCTATGCAGATAATTCCAGTGTCAGAGGAGGAATTTTCTTTGCTAAGTGATTAATTCCATGTCAAAAGAGGAATTCTCTTTTGCCACAGGGTTTAATTCCCTGTTAAAAGAGGCAAAACCTGAGTTGTCTGAATGTGACTGAGACTTCTGGCTCATCCCAAATGAAAATGAATCCTTTAATCCTACTGCTAAAGCTGTGCATGGGCACCAAAAACATGTGCAAGGAGCCTGATGTAGCAAGCCCAGAAATTGTTTTTTACACACAAATCCCTGGTTTTCATCACTTATTTCCAGCCCCTTGGAGTTTCCAGCCCCGGTGGGTTGATTTTGGGTCACTTCAGGCTGAAAATACGAACTTTACCAGCCCTTAAAAAAGCCAGACCATATCCTGAATTAGTGGGAAATGCTGGATTGCTTTTCCTCTTGGATCCATCCCATCCTTGCCTCGCTGGAGTGAGCCCTGATCCATCCTGATTTCTGGACAGAGCCTTTCCTTGGGAAATCAGCCACCTCACTGTTAATGTGTCAAGAAAAGTGCCTTCCCAGGACCAATTTAATGATGCAACTGAACATAAAAATAATCCCATTTCGACTCCAGCCTTGGTGACCCACATTCATCTTGGACAGAGAAACCAGGCTGCTCCTGCCAGCCAGGAATTAAAGGATTTGGAGTCTGGAGCGAGGGAGGAGGACGCTGGACCCTCCCCAGAATCCGTGTGTGTGCTCAGAGTGCAGGTGTGAGATCATTCCAGAGCCGGGCACGTTCCCCCTCCTGCTCATCCCGCTGGGAGGTGGGAGGTGTGATGTGCCTGTAGGTGAAGCTCAGCACTGGGAAGCAGGAAATCCAGGTCCTGCTTCCAGTGCTTCCACAGACTTCAGCTTCAAACAGATCACTTCATCTCCTGCCTTAGCTTTTCTCCCTCCACGCCCTGGAATTTGGAGCGCTCTGCCTGCCTGGAGGTTGATGCCAGTTGGTGCTGAGGGGTCTGGGAAGGTTAAACTTTGGGTGGAGCTTGTCCCAAGCACCTGTGTCACATCTCACCTTGCCAGGTCCCTGGGCAACCCTGGAATGCTTTGGCTTGGAAGGGACATCGAGGATCATCCAGTGCCACCCCCTGCCATGGGCAGGGACACCTTCCACCAGCCCAGGTTGCTCCAAGCCCTGCCCAGCCTGGCCTTGGACACTTCCAGGGATCCAGGGGCAGCCACAGCTTCTCTGCCCAACCTGTGCCAGGGCCTGCCCACCCTCCCAGCCAGCAATTCCCCCCTAATCTCCAATCTAAACCTTTTGGTCATTTGACAACTGAGAGTCAGAGTAATGAGGTGTCTCTGTCCAGCTGTGTTAATTTTCAGCTGCTGGTAATGAGGTCTCCAGGTGTCCTGAGGGATGGAGAATAGCAAGGACTCACCTGCCTTCAGCCAGCAATTGCTTCCCAATCTCCCATCTCTCCCTGCCCTCTGGCAGTGGGAAGCCATTCCCTGTGTCCTGTCCCTCCATGCCTTGTCCCCAGTCCCTCTCCAGCTCTCCTGGAGCCCCTTCAGGCCCTGCAAGGGGCTCTCAGGTGTCCCTGGAGCCTTCTCTTCTCCAGGTGAGCCCCCCAGCTGTCCCAGCCTGGCTCCAGAGCAGAGGGATCCAACCCTGGCTCCTGCGGCCGCAGCGATGCGGGACGGGGTGCGGGAGCCGGGCCGGGGCTGCGGGAGCCGGGACGGGTCTGTGGGAGCCGGGACGGGGTGCGGGAGCCGGGACGGGTCTGTGGGAGCCGGGACGGGGCTGTGGGAGCCGGGACGGGGTGCGGGAGCCGGGACGGGTCTGTGGGAATGTTCTCCCGGGGTTCTCGCTCCCAGCCCCGCCCCGGGGCCGCCCCTGCCCGCCGCCCCCTCCCCAGCGGCTCCGCCCCGGCGGCGGAGGAGCCGGGCCGGGATCCGGGAGAGCCGGGATCAGCGGGATAGCCGGGGGAGCCGGGCAGCGGCGATCGGGGCGCCATGGCCGCGGTGGGTGCGGGGGCCCGGGGGTGGCCGCGGGGGGGTGGCGGTGCCGCGACCTTGATGCTCTGTGTCCCCGCAGGTGACCCGGGGCACCGCCACACGCCGCAGCCGCCTCAAGCGCTCGGACGGCAGCACCACCTCCACCAGCTTCATCCTGCGCCAGGTCAGCGCCCGGGGGCTCGGGGGGGCTCTGGGGGCCGGGGAGGCTCCGTCCCGGCCGTCCCGGGGGAGCGGGACCCCCGTGCTCGGTGCCGCAGCCCGGGGATGCTCCGGGTCCTGCTCCGGCTCCGCGTGCGGGGGCACTTCGGGCTCGGGGCAGAGCTGGGACCCCCGGGAGCTCCGGAGCGAGGCCCCAAATCCCGGCTGGAGTCGCGGTTTAACGGGATGAACTCGTGGGTTGTCCTCGCCTTGCCTTCCCCGGCTGCGACTGACCCCGCGGGCTGGTTCTCTGCTTATTCCCTGAGACACCCAGGGCGAGAGGTGCGCCTGTTCTCGGGGAATGGAAGCGGAGGTTTTAGCGACCTCCTGACTTTAGGATTTCTGGGAAAAAAAAAAAAATCTTTTAAAGGTGTCAAGAGCATCGGCAGCTCCGCTGGGGCTCCTCAGGGCTAATTATACAGCCCCCTGGCATTGCAGGAGCGGTGGCACCATCGTGAAACCCCCTGGAAATAGTTCCCCTTTCCTTTCCCTGTTCCCCTTTTCTATCTCTATTCCCAGTCTCCCACTCCTGCCTGCCCTGAGTGAAACACAGACTGACACCCCGAGTCTCCCTGAAGCGTCACTCTCACCTAGAAGACGCATCTCAGAGGAAATGTTATTAATTTGATGCAAAAGTCGAGGAGGTGGAACATTTCCCAGAGCACAGACCTGCATCCCAGATTCCTCGGTGACTTTAGCAGAAATTCAAGGAAGCTCAGGGAAAGCTGAGCTGGGCCCTCGATGGATTTGGGGGCACTTGTCACGTGTGCTGTGGCAGCTGCGAGGTCGGTCTGTCAGGGAGAGGGATTTTAATCACCCGGGGAAGTTGGATGTGGCTTTGTGGCATCTCCTCGGCAGCTCCAGCCCCGAGCAGAGCCGGAGAGTCCCCGTTCCCAGGGTGACATGGGAGAGTCTCAGCAAGAATCTGCTGCTCAGTGTGATCTCAGCCATGGAAATGGGAGTTGGAACAGGGATAAAGGAACAGAAAGGCGGTTTTAGGGTGTGCTGGGATGTCCAGGAGGTGTTGCCCTGGGCCCTCCTGGGTGTTGTCCTGGAGAAGCTCAGTAGGAATGTTGTTTCCAGAGGTGGATTTTGTGCCATCTGGAAATTGAGGGTTGGTGATTTAGGCAGAGGTTCATCAGCATCACTTGGTGACGTGGGGTTTTGGGAGCCTGGCCTCTGTCAGCTGGATTTGGGAGGACAGGGGGACCTGCTTCTCTCCTGACCCCCCTGAGTGGGTTAATTTAAACACTGGGAGGGCACTGCCAAATTCTAACAGGAAAATCAGATGCTGGGATGTTTTTCCTGTCCTTCCCTCCCACTGGGAAGTTTTCCCTGACAGCAGCCAGGCTGGAAGGTGAAGTCCCACCAGCAGGGATGAACTTCAGGGAACGCTGCACTGGCTGTGGGGCTGATTTAAAAACAGACAGTTCTGTCAGTGAGATCTGCAGTAAATGTACTAGAGCACTTCAGATCTTCCATAGAGCTCATATGTGCTGAAAATTGAGCACCAGCTTCTTGTCCAAGTCCGAAATACCCACAGAAATTGTATCCTTGGTTTCCTTCTGTGTCAGGAGAGATGCAGCTCCCCGGGATTTGAACTCATTATTTGACTTTTCTTGGTGTTACATTTAATTTCTGGCCTCTCAGTCTAACTTAGGAAGGGAATAATGTTTGGACCCAAACTTTTGGGTTTGCCTTTTGGTCCAACAGCCCGTGGTGAGAAGCAAAGAGTGCTGAGTCCTGTGCGTGTGCACAAGGACAGAGCTCCCAACCCCACGTGGGGAGCTGGGGGTGCCCCTTGTGTCCTGTGTGCTGCAAATCAAGGGGATGATGCTTAAAAACCCCAAAGAGCTGCCCAGGGAGGGAGATCCTCGTGTCCTGGAGTGACCTGGAGTGCAGGATGTTCCCAGGGGGTTGGTGACACAGCTGAGGCCGTGACCAAACCTGGTGCTGGAGGAGTTAAGTGTGGCCTTGGAGCAGGGAATGGGTGCTCAGAATCGTTCCTCTGACGTGGCAGGTGCTGCTCAATTATAGTGAAGAAGCCCCTGAAGGGACAGAAGTCAATTATAAGACACAAAGTAGGGCAGCTGCAAACATGTGCTTGCAATTCCACAGAATGCTGCCATTCCTGGTGGTGCTTTTGGGAAGATTTTTGTCTTTCCACCCCTTGCTGTGTGACCTGAGACTGCACACAAGTTGTCTTTTCCCTTTGAACTCTGGCAGCATCACTTTTACTCCCTGTGATTTTTGGGGGGAATTTATCTTACAACAAGTGAGAGCACAAGAGGAAACAGCCTCAGAATGCACTAGGGGAGGTTTAGGTTGGATATTAGGGAAAATTCCTTCATGGAAAGTGCTGTCCAGCCCTGGCACAGCTGCCCAAGGAGTCACCTTTCCTGGAGGGATTTAAAATCCATGTGGATGTGGCACTTGGGGACACGGGTTTGTGGTGGTCTTGGCAGTGCTTGGGGTTGGACTTGGTGGTCTTGGAGGTCTCTTCAGTGTCAGCCTTGTGATAAAATCTTCCTGATTCCAAATAACCAGTGGAAATCCTTCCCAAATCGTGGCAGAGATTTCAAGTAAAGCCACCGAGTGTCCCTGTGCAGTCCAAGGACATTTAACTTCATGTAAATTATATTTAGACACGCAGTTTATTTCTGGAAGGGTGGTTTTTTTTTGCTTCTTATTTAGAGATATTTGAAGTTAAAGCCAATTTTCTTTTAAGACTTAGTTACACCTGCATCTCTGGCAGTGCTTGTGTTTCCCCTTTTCAAATGGCATTTTTTTTCCTGTGTAATCCTGAGAGGAAAAGGAAAACAGCATTTTCTATTCTTAGGGCAGCTCTCAGGCTGTAAGAACACTTTAAAAGGTTGGTGACACTGATGAAAAGGTTTGGAATCTTTAAGGAAGAGTTTTATGGCCTTGTTTCCAGCTGGGTTTGTGGGGTGGGCGGGTTGGGGTTATGGTGTCCTGGGCAGGACCAACTTGGGCATCTCAGTCCCACATCTTTTTGCCTGATCAAGCAAAGGTAGTTCTGGCTCAGATTTGGGAAGGTTTCGGGATGTCTGAGCTCTGTTTGTCCTTTCTCAAGTGTGAAAAACCTTCCCCTTGGCACGGGAAAGTCTCAGGTGTGGCTTCACCTGAGGGCAGGGACAGATGGGATACTGGGAAGGAATTGCTGGCTGGGAGGGTGGGCAACACTGGCACAGGTTGGGCAGAGAAGCTGTGGCTGCCCCTGGATCCCTGGGAGTGTCCAAGGCCAGGCTGGAACTCCCTGAACCAGGAAGAGCCAGCACTTGGTCCCTGCTCATCACTGATGTGTGGGGGCAGCTCCAGGGACCATTTCTTACCGAACTTTTCGACGTGCATCTGATTTATTCCTTCAGTTTTGCTATTTTTTTTGGTCTTAAAACCCTTTTCCTTGGCGTGAGACCTCAGGGTGTGACCTTGGCACCCTGGTCTGTGTTAGGGTGTTCTGGGGGGCAGGAGGTGGCTGTAGCTGGCAGTGTGACCCCTTCCAGGGGGGACATGCAAGGATCCAGGCATTCCTGAAAATCCAGCTCTGACTGGGTGGCTCAAACCCAACGTGCAGAGGAGCAGCTCGGGGTTTCAGTCACTCCCCAGGCTGAGCTCAATCCTGCGATGAGTCATTAATTTCTAAAACACAGCTTTCCTGTCATGGAATGTGATTATTCCACGAGGCTGTTATTTTCCTCTGTGCAGCATTTAGAAGCTCTTTCAGCACTTGACAGGTGAGTAGAAGATGGAGCCCTTTCCCCAGGGAGCAGGAGCCTCTCTGGCACGGGGGTGACACGGCTGGGAGTGGTCCCTCTGCTCCACTTGGGGTGCTGAGCTCCCACAGCAGCTGCAGCTCTCAGCTCAGCCCAGCTCACACAGGGACACACAGGAGATCAGCTCTGGGAAAGTGCAGATCCTGCTTTGCAGATCTGCCTTGTTCAGGTTAAATCCAAAGGGGAAACGGAGGCCTGAGCTGAAATAAATAAATAAATAAATAAATAACTGTGCCCGGGGTGCCTCGCTGTGGTGCCCCAGCAGCCAGGGGGGTGCCCCTCTCTCTGCAGGTCTCTCCTGCACCACCAAGTGAGTTTGCAGAAGGTCCTGGGAGCTCTGGGGGAAAGCAGGGTTTTCCACAGTGCCACAGAATACATCAAATCATGGAATGCTTTGGGTTGGAAGGGACCTTAAAATCATCCAGTTCCATGGGCAGGGACACCTTTCACTATCCCAGGCGGCTCCAATGCCCATCCAGCCTGGCCTTGGACACCTGATCCTGTTGCTCTGTCAGTCATTCCAACCAGGATTGAACTCCCAGGTCACAGAGGTGACCTTTGCAGCTGGTTTTGTTCTCAGGGCAGGGATGAGCCCCATCCCTCGTGTCCCTGGTGCAGGGGCTGTGCCAGCTCCTGGCACTGGGATTGTGCCACCACAGCAGGATTTTCCTGGGACAGCTTGTAGAGCTTCCACGATCTCCTGCCAGCTGGAGAGAGCCCATCCCAGCACTGGGCCCAGCTGGGTTTGGACCCTTGGTGAGGCTCCCAGGGCGAGGAGAACTCCTGGAATGAGGAGGGGGAAGCAGAGCCTTCCCTCTGGCTGTGTGTGCCACCTGGGCAGCTTCGGGTGAGCCCATCCAGATCGTGTCTGGATGACACCTCTCCCTAATTTCCTGTGGGGATGAAGTCAGAGGGATGGGATACACAGCTCTTTTCCTGAGTTGTCTTCCACTGTGGCTTGAGGGGCTGGTGGATGGACTTGCAGCCTTCCTGGGTGTCCCTGCAGGGCCAGGAGCTGGACCCTGATCCTTCTGGGTCCCTTCCAGCTCAGGATATTCCACGATTCTATGAACCCTCACAAGGTTGAAATAACAGCAGCAGGAAACTGAAATGGATTTTTTTAATCAAAAAACAAAGAGGGGGAAAATTGGCTTCTCTCCTTAGTCCTGCC